TTCACAAATGACTGTTTCTGTGGCTCTCAATTTGAAGAGATTGGAACTTTCTCCAGCTTTATCCATGACAAGAGCAAGCTCACCTGCTTGGATCAGGTGAGATATTTTCACACTTTCGTTCCTATTTTCACCCCCGTCCTCCTAGCTACATGCTCACATCAAAGCTTAGAATGATCAATCCAGTGTTTGGATGCTGGAGGTGTGAAATGAAAATTGAAAGTGCTGGAGAAATTCAGCAGGTCTGGCAGCATCTGTGGAGAAACAAAGTTAATTTTTCAACCCCAATATAACTCTCTTTCAGTTATGTAAAGGAGTCACATTGGACTCGAAATATTAACCTCAGTGTTTTATTTGATTCAAAACTGAGTGTGTAAATCATACGTCGGTCAGTAGTTAAGGATATCTGCTTTGGCTTTTGTCCCACAAACTACCTGCACTACTGAAAAAATTATTTATTCCTGTCCCATCTCCCATGTTACCTTCTCCAGTTGTGTACTTTTTGGTGCACCGTGCTGCATAATCTATACTTTCAGCTTCTATGTCCTCTTCCTTTCTGCACTCTGCTCCTTTATTGCCAGCATTTTTAAAATCTTCACTGACTTCTTGCAGTATTGATTTCAAGATTCTGATCATTGCTCCCACAGTCTGCATCGCCGTATTTCTGCAATTCTTTTCAAAACTGTGCCCCAGTTTAAGCCCCATCATTTCTCATCTCTGCTAAACTGCCTGTCTTATGTGAAGAAAAAAATCAGAGTTAACGCTTCGTTCTGGATTTTTCTTTCCTAAACAATCCACCATGCTACTCATCCTTTTCCAAAAAAAACCTCAAAATAAAACCTGTTCTAAGCAAAATCTCAAGTTAACTCTATTTTCCCACGTCCTGTCCTTTTCCTCCTCCTATAAAATACTTGGGAATGTTTTGCTATGTAAATGAAAATTTCTCTTTAATTAATTAAGTGCTCATTTTGTGCTATTAACTATTAATTAGATTATTTTCCAAATTGCAGTTTATCAACCTTTGAAGTGCGAAAAATGGAGCCTTATACTGGTGCTGTTGCAAATAAACAAATGCAGCGCGATTATGGAATCCAGATTCGTTTTATTCAAGATGCACAAGAAGAATCTTCCCAGGAACAAAAATATCGGACTGCTCCGAACAAATCGGGATCCTATGGAGTCAGCATTAGGGTGCAGGGAATTGATGGACAGCCATATGTTGTGTTAAACAGCAATCAGGAAGGAAACATGCAAATGTTTCAGCCTCCACCTGAGAATGGCTGCCTTGATCAAACTTTATCTCAGGGTGGTTTTAAAGCATGTTCTGATTCCTCTGCAGAGCAACAAAGAAACAGGTTCTCCAACAATGGCCACTTTATCTATCCAGAACATCCGTATTTTAATCCACTTAAGCCATCTGATACACAGCTGCCTCTTCCAGTAACAGACACCTCAGAGTTTGAGGTTGATAAAAAACACACAAAAGCAAGTAGTTTATTGAACTTCCAAAAACATCCTGAAATTCTGAAGCCGTATGACCCTGAGAAGAACCTCTTGAAAGGCGCCAGTCAACAAAGTTTGGCTAGTAGCATGTCATCAGAGAGGAGTGAAGACAAGGCTTTTCATCCTTTACCCAAGTCTGAGTTTCCAAATAAACTAGAGATTAGATCATCAAGTTCAATAAAGTCCAATGATGATAAAAGTAATTTCATTAAATCCAGAGCAATGGAAGATCCAACCAAGAAGACTACTGGGTCTACCAGTAGAAAAGTAGATACGTTCAACAACAGTAGAAGATGTCAAAATGACACCAATCCTGATTCAGAAGATTCACGGAGAACGCGACCAGATTTGCTTCCTTTGCGCCGCCAAGATTCATCTGGAAGAGGTATTGATATTTCTAGGTCATGGTGGTCATCATCTTCAACTCCAACATCAGGAAGCTCAGACAAGATAAATCCATCGTACAGGTTCGGATGGCTGGATGATCCAGATGAGGAACTTTCTGCTGAAAATGTAAACCGACATGAAAACAGGAGGTATATTCCATTTTTTCCAGGCACTGGTCGCGATATTGACTCCGACCCCATACCTGGAGTGGATGAATTGATTGATAAATTCGATGCTAAGGGTGGACAGCATCGGCGTGGCAGGTCTGCAAGGAGAAACCGAATTGATCCAGAAGATCGAAAACGATCCCGAAGCGTAGATAGTGCTTTTTCACTTAGGTCAAAAGATAATTCTGCTTACCTAGACCAATATAATAAAAAGATTGGAATATTAAATGAACATTTGTTGAGACCATCGCAATTGAGTCGTAAAAATGCTACTTCACAAAGTTTACAGGTCTCTGCTTGTAGTGAGAATGTGCCACCCAATTATGTTTCATCCACTGGTAGTCTTGGCAGTCGTCACACCCACTCTACAGGAAACCAGGGCAGTCTCGGTTATGGCTTTACGAAGAGTCCAGGTCAGACTGAATTGGATGCTTCAGACACTCACGAACAGCATGCAAGAATCTCTGGTAAATCTTCCACACTCCCTGTAGGTGCGGTCAATAAACCTGAAGCCAGAAAGGAGACAATAACTTCTGTTACACAAATAAAGACTTGTAAAACAACACCTTCCTTTGTTGGGATCAGAAAACATAGTTTAGAACCTCAGCGGCATACTGCTCAAACAAGCCAGACTGCCTGTGATCATGATGTGCAGGTAAACCTTACAGCTGTAGACATAAAAAACAATTTTTACTTTTTTAAGGAACAATTTATTTCCCAATTACCATAAGAATGAAGTCTTGATAAATGATGGATGTCTATCAACATAGTCATTGAGATCTAAAATCAGAAAGCTCTGGTGAAATTGGCAGCTTGTGTGATGTTTCTGTCCAGCATTGATGTTTCTGTCCAAAATAATTCATTTTTGGAACTGAGAGCCATATCAAACTCAAAATGTTAACATCTTTCAACAAATGCTGCCAGACCTGCTGAGTTTTTTTCAGCACTTTCTATTTTTTTTCACATGTCCTGCGTCTGTATTCAGTATTTTGCTTCTATTTCAGCCATTGTGAACTGATGGGTTCATGTAATGATATGGCAAATGTAATGTGCATATTATACTGGATTTGTTGTTACATTTTTAAAACCAAGCCAAGTTAGAATGAAGCACCTTAAATACTGCTCCATGGAAAGGGATGTGTCTTCCAACATCAAAGTAATATGTGACTCCTTTAAGATTTTTGAGTAAAAAGTGGCCTGTGCTGCTGTGATTCAGTTTTTTTTTTATTGACTCATGGAATGTGGGCATCTCTGGCTAGGCCAGCATTTATCATCCATTCCTAATTGCCCAGAGGACATTTCAGAGTCAACCACATTGCAATGGCTCTGGAGTCAAATGTAGGCCAGACCAGGTAAGGATGACAGATTTCCTTCACTAAAGAACATGAATGAACCAGATGGGTTTTTCTGACATCATTAGACCCTTAATTCTTGAATAAATTCATATTCCACCATCTGCCATGGTAGGATTTGAACTCCAGGTCCCCAGAACATTAGCTGAGTTTCTGAATTAACAATCTAGTGATAATACCACTAGGCCATTGCCTCCCCAGTACCTTTCACAATTTCACACAAAATGGTTATATTTGAAGAATTTATATCATCCCTGAATGCTGTAGAGTTTTTCAAAAATTTGGATAACAGGTAAATCTTCCATGTGGTAACTGTACGGTAACAGATCGAGTGGTATTTTCCATGAACTGATGCTGCTGTCAAGTTGTAAATCTGCCTATCACGCAAATGAGTAATGTGGTAGATGCTGGTTTAATGCTAGGTATATAGTGGTGGCTAATATCAAAAAGCAAGTCACTTTGCCTGTTCACAACGGGCAGAGAACCAACAGCACTCAACCAGCCTGTGCCTGCAAAACTCAAAACTCATGTCTTTCATTAGATGTGACTTTGCAATTGAGTAGTACTTGATAAGAAATCCTAAACCTGCTAAGAATTACAATGATACCCGTTCTAAGATGATCAGTTGAGCATGCAATGTTTACTGGCAGCTACCTATATTCATAGACGGGATCTGACCTCTACAGGAAAAAGGAATTTGTCCAGTCATTGTACCTTTTTGAATGAATTGAAAGTGTGGGTTTAGATAGCTCCCCGCTACATTCTGCATGGAAATGTCTCGACCATTCAGAAGCACCTTGCCAACCAGTCTTCAGTTTTTTCTCATGCACTTTCTTCCTTTATAAATTTGGGATTCTTGCATCTGTCCTGATGAGAGAGCAAGGCCACAAAGCTTTGATGGCATGCCCTTTTTTTTTTTGTTTTGGTTTGCTCAACAATAAATGAGTAACAAGTAACCTCACCTTCAGGAATAACATTAATTTGCATTTGCCCAAATTTGTAAGCACAAAATCTCGTTAATTACAAGTTTTGTTCCCCTAACTTTCCATCCTTATCCACAACAGTTTCACAGACAAAGGTGAACCTTCTTTTCCTTACCCAAGTTGTTATTCTTTAAGTATCAGCCTAGATTGACTATTAACAAGAGGTATTGCAGTTGTGTATCAGTGGGTAGTGTTCAGGGGCAAATAAGCCTTTCTGTCCCCCACGTTCAAGTTTGTTGATTGCTGCCAGTGTTATTGCGATCTTAAATGGACCCTTATTGAGGTTGCCTAATCTGTGCACCACACAAATGTACTGACATTGTTTGGTGTCAGTGGTACACTATAGTGCAATTTGGCCGAGGACACCATTATGAAGACATTTCACGTACGTATGCTGATGACTGGTGGGGACGGCAGGGTTGATCTTATAAGGTTCTAATTTCTTATTCTATTCCTGCAGCTCCCTCAGGTGTCCCCCATTTAAGGAACTTGAAGTAATTACTGAAAGCTCAACAACTCATTTAATTTGCTGCCATTCAGTTGCCACCCATATTGTGTTAGTGCTTTTCTTCCAAAGATTTTAATGGAAGAGATTAAAGAAGAGTATTGGAAACCAGACAGAGACTGGCCGCACTCACCAATATTGCCACCAGTTGTATCTACTGCTACTTGGTAGAAATAGAAGAAAGCTGTAATCAGATAATCCTGAAGCTAGCATTTAGCACTAGGAAAGCATTGCAATAACACTTGAGGTATAACATCCTACCTCTCATTTCCAGGCTACTTTATGACATAAGTCAGTTTGCTGTGCCCAAATAAATCACATGGGTGACTGTGTGTCATTTAACAAGCTGACGTTTGTACCTTTTCTATTGAATGGAGGCAGCAATGTGTTAGGCTGCTCAACTTTTCCATTCTGTAGCATTTCCTGAAGAGAGCAACTCACGTTATCCATATAGCTGTCCAGGCTACCAAGATAGATGTAAGAACTGCACTAACAAGAGTACGCTGGCCTACACATCTCCTTATTGAACCAGCATAAGCCTTCTGGCTTGATAAAGATATAATAGTGAGGGATCTTCCAGGTCATGAGGACACTGATTGTTGTAGCATACAGTTCTGCTGTCTCCTCAGATGCCCAATTTTAACATTTAGCTCTGTTGTTAACCTATCCCATTTAGCGTGACTGTACTGTGTGAATCAACAATGGTGAACATCCTCATTGTGAAAACAGCACTTAGCTCCATAAGGACTGTGCATTGGTTACTCCTATCAATGTTGTCATGGGCTGACACATCTCCATCAGATAGATAGATTAGCTATTGAGATTGAGGTCAAAATAGGTTATTCCCCCAAATCTCGGCACCTGGTGTCAGACCGCTCTGACAGCTGTGCCTGTAAAGGATTAGCAAACTCAGTAATTGATATTACCAACCCACGTATGATAATAGAGATACAAGTCACTTGCTCAGATTGCATTGTGTACCTTTGCCATCTTCAGTGTTTTGTCTGAATAGAGTTCAACATGGAGCAGTACATGTTCATTAGCAATGAGAGCCATCACTGCCACTTTCTCTGGCATCAGCTTTTTGTTTCTGGATTTTTAAAAACCTGAATTAAGATTGTCAGACTGTTGCCACAGTGAGACTAATTATCTGGATCATTAGTCCAAACCTCTGGATTTATAGTCCACAAATACCACATTCCCAAATATGAGATTTCCTGGGATTTTTTTTAACTTTTTTTTTCCAGAAAGTGAAAACATCTTCTTTGGCAGGGCTCTCTGGCTTATTGATAAAACATTTTTAACACCTATTGTTTTTTATTTAGGTAAAACCATTTGTGGGATGACAGGATTATTTGGATTGTTGACCTGTCATATATTTATAATAAATGTTTTACTAAACATTTGTGTTGAAACTGTAATTTTGCTCTTGAAAAATATATAACGTAATTATACAGTTATTAACCTAAAGGTTAATTTTACCAACTGAATTTAAAATTAATTTTGTGTTTTAATTGCATACCAACTTAATTTTTATTTTTTATAAAACTTTTAAGGTAACTCCTGACCTTCTGAAGGACCAACAAATGAATGAGGAGACAGCAAAACAGATCCTTTACAACTGTCTTAAAGTGGGGTTAGTATCCAACATAATGCCAATATTGGGTTGCACGTTATCCATGTTTGACATTGATGTTTAAAAGTTTAATATGTTTTCCCAATATTATTAAAGCTTTTATGATAAATAATTTTAGAAATAAGATGCAGTAGTGTTGAAATGAAGCATCCTCTGTTTGATTCTCCCTAGGTCTGGGGAGATTATATGGTTTAGACTTTTGAATGCTTGTCCTACGTAAATAATACAAACTAGGGCCTAAAGTATATAATAGTTTGTAAACTCCTTATCTCCATTATACATGTCCCTTTTGTTTGTGGAATTGTTTTTCTATTTATTTGTGTTCTGTGCTTATGAATGTCCTGTGCTTAAATATTAATTATTCAATAACACAGAGGCACTTATATGCATCAGGGGAGATTCAGCACACAGTTTGACTTAAACATAAATGTTTAATGAGTCAGCAGAATTTTTGTTTTATATCTTTTTTAATCTAGTATAAATTATTCAATTAGCTTACAGCTAAACTGTTCCATTTGTACATTCTAGTCCAAAGTCTATCGCTGTATATTTAGCAGAATATTTATTAGCACACTTGAGTTTCCAATTCTGTGAAATGTAAGCTCCCAAATCAGTCATTTTTCTGCACTGACTTGTCCAATATTTTGAATTAAGCAATGGAATTCACAATTGCAGTTAAATTCAGTTCAGTCAAATCATCGCCTTGACCTTTGCCTATGTACCCAGTGAGATCATTGCTTTCTCTCACTTTTGATCACTCCCCTTAATAGATTCCTCATCCCAGCCCCCTCACGTCCAGAGGACAAAGACTTGAATGCAGGTTTTTGGAAGACTGGTGCTGTATTAAATGTCAGATCTGGTTGGACAATTTAAAGCACATCTGGGCCCTGTTCTCCTGTGTTCACTCTTCTACAATTATCCCATTTTACAAAGATCATCCTTCTGCACTTCTCCACTGCAAGCTGTCTTTCTTCAACAAGCTTTCTCCCACAATTTCAACACATTTCCCTCCAACAAGACGTGAAAAGATCTCCTGGTCTTTTTTGTCATTAAGATTGGGACCCATTCTGTTTCCTCTGCCACTTACCTCTCCCTCACATGTCCCCTGAAAACTATGCCACATCTTAAACCTGAATTCGCGTCTCCTTCCAATTTCTCTCCTCTCTCCCATTATGAACTCTGTGACCATGAGACCTACTTGTTCCCAGACTCTGTGCTGCCAGGAAACTGATGACACAACTTCCCTCACCATAAAGTAATGTCAGCAAATTAACAGTGAGTAATGGCACAAAAGAAGGACAAATCCCTTTGAGCACCTAGTATTCCTCGGATTTTAGAGGATGTAACTGAGAACATTGCAGATGTTCCAGCAAGACTTCTAGAAGTTTTCAGTTAAGGTTATTGATGCTTGAAAGAGTACAGCATGGGTTGCTAGAGTGATATTTGGGTTCAAAGAGTTAAATTTTGTAAGGATAGACTTCTTAAAGGAGGATTGTACAATATAATGGAATTTGGAGGTTTAAAGGATGATGTGATCAAAATTTTAGTTCTTGGGGCTAAAGGGATCAAAGAGTATGGGGCAAAAAGGCGAACAGGGTACTGTTCTGGATGATTGGCTATGATCGTGTTGAATGACAGAGCAGGCTTGAAGGGCCGAATGGCCTTTTCCTGCTCCTATTTTGTATCTTTCAAACTATTATAAGGAACTGATAGAAATTGTATCTTTTCATCTACATTGCTCATTGGGGAATCTAGGACTAGGACTTTTCCTCAAGTCTTCTGACTAAGGTACGTTGCCTGAAAATTAGAGTCAGGACTTTCAAGGGTGTAGTTAAGCAACACTTTAACAATCAGTGGGGTGTCCCAACTCTCATCAAGTTCCCTTCATTCATTATCCTGGTGCTAGTTGAGCTACATGGTTTCCTGGACCACAACACCCCAGTTTTAAAATTCTCATCCTGTTTACAAATCTCTCTGTGGCCACAGCTCTCCCTCTTTTGATGAGTTCCTCCAGCCCTACTGGTTTTTGTGGTCACTGTGGTCCTCCAACTCTGGCCACATCGCCAACTCTGATGTTAATTGTTCCAACATTAGTGGTTGTGCTGCCAATTATTTTGTGCTAAGCTCCGTAATTTATTCCTAAATGTCTCTACCTCGCTTCTCTTTGCGATGTGCCTTTGCAACTACCCCGGGAGCAACCTGTCTTTTTACCTCCTTATTCAGCTCAGTACCAAGTTTGTTCTGTAAAGTTGTCGTGAAAGTTATGGGTGTTGTACAAATGCAAGTAATCTTTACAATAATAACAACAAATGAGAATTCTGCTCTCAATAATTAATTTGTTTGGAAATGGAATTAAATAAGTTATAAATCAAGCGAAGTAGACCGCACACTTTCATGTGCAGTATATTTGCAATTTTTTATTTGTCAGTATATGTCTATTTATATATATGAAATGATTTATCATTTTTTTAAGATATTGACTGTAACAAGAAATTTCTCTTTACATGAAAATTCAATGATGAAATATCCAACTGTTAAACCAGATTCACCGCCACAGTTCTAAAGCTCTAAACAATGTTGTTGAGTCATCCAACATCTTTCCTATCTGCGTCCAATCCTTTCCTGATAGTAGGATGCAGTTTCATAACAGATGACAGCCATCAATCTCGTACAGATGTCCATTTGGTTGATGGTGATCCGTGACTGTGGATCCAGCAGTTGGTGTCTATATCCCCACAATTTCTGGCAACAGTGAATAGAAAAACAATCAATAGTTGAAAAATGACCACAGTTGGAACCTGCTGTAATCCAGCGATTATGGAGTGAAATTGTGGTGATCAACTGCTGTCTTGTCTGAAGTTAACTATTTCAGCATCAATGCAATTTTCTTACCTTGATACCACTGAAAATGCAGTTTGCAATTAGCCTGCTTCCATTTGATGTAATACCAGCAGCATGATGACACCTGCTTATGAGCATCTTCCTACATGTAGCCATTACTAATTGTGCTGTGAAATACTGCATGTATTAACAGAGGATTGGTGCATTGTGGTTGGACAGGTGCTGGGACCTCCTTGTGAGCAGAATCTCACCTGGGAAAGACACAACAATGGCTACACATGGAAGACTATGGCAGCTAGGTTTCCCAACACTGGTCTCGGAGGACTTGGTGGAAGGCATGGAAAGAAGTAGAAACCTCCTCTATCTCTGGAAGACCTGCCAGACACCTGTCAAAAAGGCAATGCCAGAGGGTATATGCAGAGATAAAAATCAGATATTCAGCTCCAAGGACCTGGATACAGTGGTAGAAGAACTTTACTAAGCTCAAGGTCAGCAATTCAAGAAGGTCAGAAATCACACTGACCTTGCCCATCCCAGTCCAACACCGGCACCTCCACAGCAATTCAAGAACGTAGCTCACCATCACCTTGTGATGTTTTAAGTCCCACAGAGAAGAAAGCACTAGTTTCTTCTGACTTACTGTCTACAGAAAACCTGCAGTCAGTGCCATGGATCACTGGAGGAGTCAGGCTCCAAATAACCTGGGACTTCGCACTGAGCTTGGAGTCTGTCCTTTCCAGCCTCCGGGATATGACGCAGCATGTGATTGGCAGCAATCAGCTTCTAGCAAAATTTGGTGAATGTTGCAGTGGGAGCTTAGGTTGAAGTTCTGCAGGCACTACTCCAAGGGCCAGTTGCACTCGGGTCCAGAAGCAACTGGTTTGTGCAGAAGCTTTGAAATCAGTAAAAGTACTTTAACATTTGCCATACAACTTCCTGTGGACTTGGGAAATTTCAAATGATTTTCAAAGCGACCAGAATAAATTACAAGACCTAAATATGATTGACAGTTCCTTTGGATAACGCTGGTGAAGGAGCAATTGCTGCTTCATCGTAAATGCTTTTCTGTGATAGTAGGAACTGCAGATGCTGGAGAATCTGAGACAACAAGGTGCAGAGCTGGATGAACACAGCAGGCCAAGCAGCATCATAGGAGCAGAAAGGCTGACGTTTTGGGCCTAGACCCTTCATCATGCTTGGCCTGCTGTGTTCATCCAGCTCTGCACCTTGTTGTCTCAAATGCTTTTCTGTGTTGACCCACTGTTAACTCTGACATTGATATATTAAACCATTTGTGTAATCCTCTCTTTAAAAATGTATCGGTTATATTCAGCAGTTGATATGCCTATAAACTTTCAAAAGGTGTTTGATAAAATTGCCAGATAACAGGTTTGTCACCAAATTTGAAGCCAATTGAATAACAGACACAATAGCAGCATGGATATGAAGTTGGCTGAGTGACAGAAAACAACATATGGGTGAACTATTGGTTATCAGACTAGAGGGAGGTAGTTGGTGGTGTTCTGTAGGGTGCCAGCACTGGTACACTGCTTTTCTTGATATATGTTAATGAGTTGGACATTGTTTCAAAATCTGCGGATAACACAGAAGCATTGTGTATTGTGAGAAGGATAATGCTAAACTTCAAAAGAGCATGGGCAGGTATTAGAATGAGTGGAACATGCGGCGGATGAAATTTCATGTCGAGAATTGTGAAGTGTTATATTTCAGTAGGAAGGGCCTACATAAAGTAAAGGTTACAATTTAATGGATGAGCAGCAACAGAGAACACAAGGGTAAATATGCACAAATTATTGAACGTGGCAGACTAAATTGAAGTGGTAAATATGGGATCTTGGATCCTAGGCCTTTTACATCCAGGTGGGAGGAGGGGAGAGTGGGATTGGTGAATTGGCTGCTCTCTTTAAACCTTTCCAGTTGACCACCACAAAAAAATTTATTTCCTTCTAGCATCAGGCTATATCACACTTCAAATAAAATCTATTACTAGTCAGAATTAAGGAGACAATTACAAGGTTTGTTGTGTGAAAGAAAGAGAAATTTTATTAGTCGCTAACTTCAAGAAAACTGATAGAATATGATATAAATATACCGATAAATACAGGTCTGAGGTTTAAAAAGGGAGAGTATCTTGTACAAAAAGGAAGATCAGAATTGACTGTTTTGAAAAAAATTCCTTTAGCATCCTTAAGGTGCTAGACTTTAACCTAAGACCACAGTTGTTTAATTAATGTCCTGTATCCTTAGCAGTTATGAAATTTGTAGATATTTTTAAAGTTTTCAATGAATCGGTGCTCCTCCAATTTTCTTGCCACGTCATGTTGTCTTCTGAAAGAGAGAGCCTTCAAGTTCTGCTGTTACAAACCCATTATTCTTCTCTCCTCTCTGCCCAAGAACAATTCCCTGAAATATAATGTTTTTCATACATTCCTGTGTTTACCTTCATTGTTCTTTTCTTCAAGCTGGAAAATCTGCAGGAAGCTTTCATACCAATATGTGAAACTTCCAGAAAAGTGTAAATCTGACAGCTTTGACTTCCTTGGCTTTTAATAATCTGCTGGTATCTGACCAAATACTCATCATCTGACATTGCAAAAACTGAAGTTTTCTACTGAACGAACTGTGCTTTCCCTGAAATGTTCTCTGCTCCTCTTTAGGTAGAGAAACTATATTTGCTTTTGACCCCAGTCAGGTCTGCGCTGAACTGTCTAAAATCTTTTAATCTCTTGGTTTTTTTCTAACATTAAAATCAGTTCTTGATTCCCTTGAACCTAAATCAGGCTAATGCCCCTTCAGAATTACCCTTCCTGTCATAATACTCTTCCTGCCTTCTGATAGATACTAGAGTAGGTCACTGTTCTGGAAAAATTATCTGACCATTTTTTTGTAAGTCCTTCAGAAAGGAAACCAACACCACTGTTTTAATATACATCTAAACCAGACATCTTTCATTACAGTAAATTGAGATAAACTGTTCCCATTGGTAAAAGGATTGAAAAATTGAAGATACTGTTTTTAAGGTGAACCGATCAAGGTAAAGTTGCCATATTCTTACCAGACTATGGGACTGCTCTCTCATTAGAGACAGAGAAATGGCTGGTGGTGGTTTAACCTGAGGGTCGCCACACTCAAGTGAGGGGAGAGCTTGAGAAAGAGCGTTCATGGTAACCTCAGCCTGTGTGGCATCGCTGTGAATCCGAAACCAGCTGTCTAGCCAACTGAACTGATTGACCCCCTAACAGTGATTTTAGGAAGAGCATTTTTGCATGTTCAGAATATGAAAAGTCTGCCTGAGAGTGTGGTCGGAGCAGAATCTAATGTGACTTTCAAACAGAAATTGAATAAGAACTTTAAGGGAGAAAATTTGCAAGACCACATGGACAGGAAAGTGTCATGATACTAACTGAAGGGTGGTTGCAGAGAGCTGGCATGACCACAAATCTCGATGCTTCTATTGTTACATTGTGCAACTGTATGATTTAACTCCAAATAGGTTTTAAAGTAAAGAATCCTGCCTCAATCATTTAATTTCAAGTACTTGTTTATAATTCACTGATCCTGAAATGCAAAATTATTGCAGAGGGACATGCATGTATGGATTGAGCTACCTGAGGAAGTAGTGGAGGCTGGTACAATTACAACATTTAAAAAGCATCTGGATGGGTACATAAATAGGAAAGGTTTAGAGGGATATGGGCCAAATGCTGGCAAATGGGACCAGATTAATTTAGAATATCTGGTCTGCATGGACGAGTTGGACCAAAGAGTCTGTTTCTGTGCTATAAAACTCTTAAGACTCTATAACTCAGGCCAGTCCTTGTCTTAGGACTGGTCAAAATGGAGAAACTTAAGTTGGGAAGGCATCAAACACATTGCATGTGCATGTTGCTGATGAAACTTCAAAGCCGAGGCTTTGGGAACAGAACACAAACCTCCCAACAACTCATCTATCTGACATAGCAAGAACTGCAGATGCTGGAGTCAGAGATAACACAGTGTGGACCTGGAGGAACACAGCAGGCCAGGTAGCATCAGAGGAGCAGGAAAACTGACATTTTGGGTCAGGATCCCAACCTGCTGTGTTCCTTCAGCTCCATACTTTGTTATCTCATCTATCTGGCCTTCTAAGTACTACCTGCTCCTCATGTGGAATGAGTCTGTCGATTACACAGTGGATTTATTAGCTATCTCTGAATGCATTGAATTGGAACAGAATCCTGAGGAATGTTAGTATAGATTTGGGGAGGTGCTTGATTTCTCCTTTTCAGACTGTGCAGTGGGAAAGATATGCCCAATAAGAAACATTAAATTTGGAGCACTGGGGAACTTAGGGTTTTGGGATTAGTATTGGAGTACAACAATAAGTTGTAACAGCAAGTTGGAGAGTGATCAACAATCATATGTTATGAACACCATTTGGCAAGAAAGCCAATTCTGGGATCTGTTCTATTTGATTTTGCAGAGAAGGCAGGAAGTTGGATGTTGAAGTGGTTTAGATGCTTGAATTCAAAACCAGTTCAGATGTTGAACTTCTCTGTCTGTTGATTGTAAAGTTTACATGGGAATCAAGTTTGGGAAGTCTGACTCTTCCTAATGGATGCACATCTGTAGTACAAAACTGTCCCTACTTTGGCCATAATTAGTTATCTTGCTCAGAAGACACAGCACAGTTAGAATAGAAAAGTATGTGCCAGATTTAATATTGGGTGTTTTCCAAATTCCTGAGATGTATTGTGCAGAGTCAAATTCATTCTTCAAAGGGCTATACAGTATTTCACTTACAAGTCGTTGTCATGATAACAAATATCTAAATAAAAAGCACTTTCAGTCCATCAGATATTGGGTATGCAAACGTAAAAAGGGTGATCACTTCTGTGCTTTCCCCGCTTTATATAAGTGCTGAGCCCAAATCGTCATGTCATTATTTGATTGCTGTGGTGGTTGATGCCATGTATAGATGAAGGAGGAGGATCAAAAGATCATCCTCGCAGAATTCTGGATGTGATTGCAGATATGATTGCTGACTGTGTGCAAAACGTGGTTGCCCTGCTATAGGAAAGATGTTATTAAACTAGAAAGGGTACAGAAAAAAATTACTAGGATGTTGCCAGGACTGGAAGGTTTGAGTTATAAGGAGAAGCTGGACAGGCTGGGACAGCTTTTGAGTGTTGGAGGCTGAGGGGTGATCTTATAAAGGTTTATAAAATCATGAGGGGCATAGATAAGGTGAATAGCTAAACTCTTTTTCCAAGGGTAGGAGAGTCCAAAACTAGAAGGCATTAGTTTAAGGTAAGAGGGACAAAATTTAAGAGACCTGTGTGGCAACTTAATTGACACGCAGGGTGGTGTGTGTATTGAATGAGCTGCCAGAGGAAGTGGTACAGGTGGATAGAGATGGATACAGTTAGAATATTTAAAAGATATTTGGACAGGTACATCGATAGGAAAGGTTTAGAGGGTAAATTAGACTCATTCAGTTTAGGAAACCTGGTCAGCAAGTTAGACGAGTTGGACCAAAAGATCTGTTTCCGTGCTCCATGTCTATGTCTCAAATCTATGAAATTTAAGTTGCCGCCTCAATAACTTAGAAAATGATTGTGAGAGATTTTTAACCAGATTTGGCATGGCCATGATTTGAGCTGGTCTCATTCTCCAGTGTGTAGGTCTCAGAACCATAAGTTTAAAGGAGCAAATCATAATTACTAAAAGTATGAACTAAAATCTGGAAATGAATGACATATCTTTCGGTATCTATAGAGAGAAAACAAAGTCCAGGTTAATGTTTTGGGTGTGGGCTGCTTGGTAGAACAGGAAACTTAAAGGTAAGCAAACTTTAGAAAGTGAACAAAAATGAAACAACAGTCTGGGGTAAGGCAAGAGTCAAAGATCAGTTTGTTGACTTTAGTTTCACAAAAAGAGATAATGGCAAATGCACCAAAGTGAAGTATATTGATAGTAATTAAGACTCAGCAGGATATTGCCCTTGATGGATATGTTCCCACCTTCTAACATCTTTAATGAGAAAGTACCGCATCTGCATAGCCCTCGTGTCAGGTCTGTTTGCCAAGTTCTCTGGTGTAGCAAAGCTTATCGAAGAGCAAGCAAAGGAAAGTTGTGCTCTATAGTATATTGACACTGTCTTTAATATCAATATTTTAGTGAATATTGTGGTTATGTTTTATTGATCAGCATTGTATGGAATAGAGTTGGAATTTATCATTCGTGCTATGCCATAATAATGTAATAACCCATCAAAATTAGCTTTTGATTGTGAATATCACAATTATTTGTCAGTGCTTCTAATAACCTCTACAGCAGCTTCATTTTGATAAATTAGCTTTAAGCCACACAAAACATTTCTTTTTATTTACAATTCTAATGCTACTGTGACTGCAGATATATTTTGGCTGAGCTACAACAGTACATGATTGTATTTTACTCGAGACAGTAGGAAATCATAAAGGTAACTCAGACATTCAGACCTGATGAGCTGGTGTACTAATCACTAGAGATTTGAACAATTTACTCTTCCCACTTTCATGCCTTGTTAAGTAGGTCCACCCCAGATGAATTATCATCTGAAGCATGAGGTTGATGATTTGGGCTTTTACCCAAAATAATTACAAGTTTATTTTTGTAAAATGTTAAGTAACTTTTCTTTTTCCTTCAGGTGTCATGATGATGATGCAACAAAGAAGAAAGTCAATTTGGTGTTTGAGAAAATCCAGACCTTAAAATCAAAAAGTCCAGTCAGTGTGGAAGAACAAAAGGACAAAGAAGTGAGTTAACTTTTGTGTCATATTAAAGTAATTAACTGGACAATCAACTCTACCTGGCATTTATTTGTAATATTAATATTTTAGAGTCATAGTCACACAGCATGGAAGCAGATCCTTCGGACAACTAGTCCACGCTGAGCATGTTCCCAAGCTAAACTAGTTCCATCTGCCTGCGTTTGGCCTGTATCCCTGCAAGCATTTCTTATTCATGTACTTATCAAAATTTCTTTTAAACATTGTAATTACCTGCATCCACCATGTCCTCTGGCAGTTCATTCCACACATGAACCACGCTGTGTTAAAAAAAAAAAGTTGCCCCTCGTGTCCTTTTTAAAGCTTTCTCCTATCCCCTTAAACATATGCCACCTAGTTTTGAACTCCCCCACCTCAGGGAAAAGACCTTTGCTATTCACCTTATCTATACCCCTCATGATTTTGTAAACCTCACGTTTCAACCTCCTGCGCTCCTGTGAAAAATGTCCCATGCTATCCAGCCTATTTTTATAACTCAACCACTCCCCCCCC